AGTCTATGGGACCAGATGGGATCCACCCAAGGAGGATGAGGGAGCTGGCAGAAGAGCTCGCTGAGCCGCTCTCCATCATTTACCAGCAGTCCTGGCTCACTGGGGAGGTCCCAGATGATTGGAAGTTGGGAAGTGTCACACCGACCCACAAAAAGGGCTGCAAGGAGGACCCAGGAAACTACAGGCCTGTCAGCCTGACCTCAGTGCCTGGCCAGGTTATGGAGCAGATCATCCTATGTCCAATCACAAAACACCTACAGGATGGACAAGGAATCAGACCAAGCCAGCATGGGTTTTGGAAGGACAGGTCCTCTCTGACCAACCTGATCTCCTTTTATGATCAGGTGACCTGAGGAGGATCACCAATTGGACTGGGAAAGATACAAGGCCTGGAAGTATACGGAGCCTGAAAAGACTATAAATCCACGGACAGACTTGTTATTCCCCAGTTTATTACCAGTTTTATACCAAGTTCAATGTATCCCCGTGTTATTCCTTATGGTTTGTATTGTTCAGGGCTTGTTCAGACTTGCCCTCAGTTGTTTCCTGCCAAAAGTTGTTTACTCCCTTGTTCTCCCCTGGTTTTCCTGCTCATCTCTCACTGATTGGCTGATGAGTGCCGCAGTCCAGAGTGAGCTCTCATTGGTTCCTTCCCTTGGATACCCCCAAGCTACACCCATCTTTCTCCTGTCTCCCAACCCTGTTTCACCCTGGGTTGTCAATCCCATGCTCCACCCCAGTTATGGAACCTCCCCTTACCCATACCCTATATAAGTCCCTGTTTTCCCCTAATAAAGTGGCATTGCACCCTTGACCTTCAACTGAGTCCGAACCCTTTTGTGTGGTGCCGCGTCCCTATCCCTTTTACCCTCAGGCCGTGGCAGTGACCCTCCTGGTGGATGAGGCGAAGGCTGTGGATGTGTCTACCTGGACTTCAGCAAAGCCTTTGACACTGTCTCCCACAGCACACTCCTGAAAAAGCTGCAGCCCATGGCTTGGACAGGAGCACTCTGTGCTGGGTTAGGAACTGGCTGCAGGGCCGGGCCCAGAGAGTGGTGGTGAACGGTGCTGCATCCAGTTGGCAGCTGGTCACTAGTGGTGTCCTCCAGGGATCAGTGTTGGGCCCAGTTCTGTTTAATATTTTTATAGATGATCTGGATGAGGGGATTGAGTGCACCATCAGCAAATTTGCAGATGACTCCAAGTTGGGGGGGAGTGTCAATCAGCTGGAAGGCAGGAGGGCTCTTCAGAGGGACTTGGACAAGCTGGAGAGATGGTCTGATTCCAGTGGGATGAGGTTCAACAAGGACAAGTGCTGGGTCCTGCACTTTGGCCACAACAACCCCCTGCAGTGCTACAGGCTGGGGACAAAGTGGCTGGAGAGCAGCCAGGCAGAAAGGGACCTGGGAGTTTGGATTGACAGGAAACTGAACATGAGCCAGCAGTGTGCCCAGGTGGCCAAGAAGGCCAATGGCATCCTGGCCTGTATCAGGAACAGTGTGGCCAGCAGGACTGGGGAAGTGATTCTTCCCTTGTACTGTACTCCAGGTGCTGGTGAGGCCACACCTGGAGTGCTGTGTCCAGTTGTGGGTCCCTCAGTTCAGGAAGGATATTGAGGTGCTGGAGCAGGTCCAGAGAAGAGCAACAAGGCTGGTGAAGGGACTTGAGCACGAGTCTGTAGAGCATTTACAGGACAATGGACACTTCGTGAACAATCCATATGACCAGCTCGGAGGAGCAGCAGGCCTCACTTGACATAACTTTGGAGGTTATTAAAAGAATAGTTTATAGTTGCAAGCTCTGTGAAATTATGTATGTTTATACTTGCAAGTTGTGTGGAAACTGTATGTTTATAGTTGTAAGTTGTGGGAAACTGGAGATAAAGAGAAAACTGGAAAGTCCCCAGAAAGTCCCTAAAGGCGGATCAGTAGGAGGGACTTTCGGCAGCTCGAATAAGGTCAGGACGCGTGGACAGAGCATCAGGACCAATGAACTAAAGGCATGCAGTGTGTGGACAGACTGAGCTATCCAATCGCTTTGTTGTAATCACATACCCGGAAGGAGCTGACTGTATAAAAGCTAACTCATCTAAATAATAAATTGAACATCATTTGATCATATTGATCGTCTGTACGTTGTTCCTGAACTCCTGCCGTCAACAGGTGGTGCCCAGGAACAGGGACCCTCAGATTGCTGTGTTCCCCCTAGGACAGTGTTGGCAATGGAAAAGAGGGAGCAGGAAAGCCAACCATAACGGTGCTGCCCCATCATCGGAATAGAGCTCGCGTTGCGTCGGAGAGATGGCTTGGAATCTCACCTTGATCAGGTGAGTGGCTAGGGAGGAGATGGGGACGACACCTAGTAAAGAGGAAGAAGTGGTGCTTAAGCTCTTCCAACATATGCTCTCCAAGAGAGGGTTTACCTATGATACGAGTACCCTCAAAGGGCTGTTGAACTGGGCCCGAGATAAGGGATTTATCCGCACAGTAAGTGCTGCCTTTGAAGTCCCAGTATGGGAAAATATAGGACAGCAGCTGTGGGAAGAGATCAGTAAAGGGTCTAAGGAGGCAACCCACTATCCAACGTTGTGGCGGCTGATGACCAAAACACTAAAATCTATGAGAACTGAGAGGCAGGTTGCTGCCTCAGCCTATGCTGCATTAGTGAGCAGCGAAACTGAAAGCAAAGAGGGCAGCTCGGTTTCCCAGTTTTTGTTCGCCATTCCTCCAGTCCCGTTGCTGGCTAGTTCCAAGACGTCAGCTCCTCCTCGACTGTCAGCCAGTGGCCCCAGCAGCTCGTCCTCGGCCCTGGAGAGCTCCAGCTCCATGCAGGACACCAGGGAGCCCACTACCAGGAGCACTTCCCCCCGCAGTAAGCCCAGGGACAGCGGCTCCGCTCCACCGAGTGGCCGCAGCGCCAGCCCTGCCGCTCACTCTGCCACTGCCCCACCTGTGCCCACCGCCGCCATGGCCTGCGCTGAGCTCCTGCCACTGTCGCGCCCTGCCAGCCCCGCCGCCACCCTGCCCTGGCCCCACCAGAGGGACATGTCACCGCTGCGCAACACTAGCCCCGAACCGCCGGGACCCGCTTCTGCCACTGCCCCCCCACCAGGCCCAGCGGGACAGTCTCAGCAAGAAAAAATGGAAGGGAAAGGGGATCATGAACAGCACAGTGCCACTGTACCCGCCACTGCCGCCATCTGCGCCTTCATCCCCGGGCTCGGAATTGGACTCTGAGAACGGAAAGAGGGATACAAAGGACCGAGTGCAGCTGCAGGAGCTCCTACGGCGATTGAAAGCTTTGGAGGCATCCGTGGGAGCAAAGGAGCTGAGGCGAGTGGAGCCCTCTGCGCTCCCTATGCCATTGCCGGCTCCACCTATTCCCATACAGGCACAGGCCCCCCCAAGCCCTTTCCTATCACTCCCATCACCTCCACAAAATCCATTCATGGAGGGGGGAGGGAGTGGAACTGTGCTGGGAGGATCTGTAAATCTGCCGTTTGGGGATTCAGGGAGTGGCGTGAGTGGGGAGGGTCTGGTGCAGAGATGGAAGGGAATTCTGCGAGATGCTATGATAGAGGGAGAATTTTTGTCGTTGAGCCCTAATGCGTTTCCGGTTATAATAGATGGGGGAGGGGGAAAACAGGGGCTATCAGGCCTTAGACTGGAAGATGCTAAAGGAAGCTAAGGCTGCAATATCTCAGTATGGGTTAAAATCAGGTTATACTATATCTGTGTTACAACACTTGTTTTCTTCTACGTTGATGACCCCCTATGATACTAGGATGATAGTTAACACTTTGCTATCTCCCCATCAGCAGTTGCAATTCTATCAGAAGTGGCAGGCAGCAGCGTGTGATACAGCGGCTGCAACCCCTAGGCAACAGGAAAATCCTCTCTTTGGGGTAACAACTCAAATGCTTATGGGAACGGGTCCTTTTGTGCGAGCAGACTGGCAGGTACAATTTGTCAACGAAGTATCGCAGCTCAGTCAGGAGCTGGCACAAAAATCAATACAGGCAGTGCATGATGATAGAACAGCCCTGTCTTTTCTATGATGTGGCAGGGGCCAACAGAGCCATTTGGGAAGTTTATTGATCAGTTACATCATGCGATTAATACACATCCCAACCTAGATGAGAACATGAAGGTCTAATTTTTGGACATGTTAGCCTATGACAATGCCAATGAAAAAACTAAACGAGCTTTGAGTGTCCTGCCCCAAGGTCCTACAATGGCTCAGCCACAGACAGAGTAATTTAGCAGGAGAAGGCTGCTTATGTGGCTACAGCTGTCGGAGCGGCAGTAAAGCCGTTGGTGCAAAAAGGAAATAGGTCAGGCAAAGGGAAGATAGAGAAAAGATGCTATAACTGTGGGCAAAAGGGACATTTTAAAGCTCAGTGTCCTGCAGGTCGAAAGAGTGGGCCTCAAGGAGCTGCTGTTTCAAAGTGGTGTGAAACGTGTCAGAAAGATAGCCATAACACGCACGAGTGTAGGTGAAAGGGAAACGGAAGGCTGAGCGCACCGACCCCTCACACGATGACAGCAAGTCCGGGTGCCTGGACAGCTGCCGCGCCACCACCACCGGCAGCACCGAAGTGGACTTGGCAACAGCAGTAGATGTCACTCTCGAGACACAAGAGGTAGTGATAGTAGATTTGATCTTAAGAAGACCCTTAGGCCGAGGTCTTAGTGCCTTATTAATAGGAAGATCTTCCATGTCTTGGCAAGGTATTTTTGTTGTTCCAGGATTGATTGATGCTGATTATTTGGGTATTATCAAAATTATGGTGTATACCCTGACACCACCAATTACCATTCCAACCAAAAGCAAAATTGCCCAGCTCATCCCCTTTCATTCCCAGGTCCCGCACGTAACAGAAAAGGACCGTGGAGAAGGGAGTTTCGGTTCTACCAGAGCCCCGGAAGTGTTATTTGCCATAGATATTAAAAGAGGAAAGCCAGAAGAAACATCCTAGCAGACTGTCCACCCAGCTGACAATGCTTTTGGACATAGGTGCTGATGTCTCTATTATTCCTCGTCATAAGCGCCCACAGGCATGGCCTTTGATGCCAGCCCTCATGAGTGTGGTGGGGGTGGGTGGGGTGCAACAGAAGTGGATCAGTCGTGGCGTGATAACCTTTTGCTTTAAGGATGGCAAGTTGGTAGGAACTAGGCCGTATGTTCTCGCATTACCTGTTGTGTTACTCGGAAGAGACATGTTGGATCAGCTAGGAGCAAGGCTAGTGACAGACCCTTTTTAGGAGGGGTCACTGAGAGGCAGCCAACCCTGAAACTGAGATGGAAGACAGACACCTCCGTCTGGGTAAATCAGTAGCCGCTCAAAGGCAATAGGCTGCAGAATGTTCAGTTGTTGGTCCGAGAGCAGCTTGATGCAGGGCATACTGTACCATTCGCTACTCCCTGGAACACCCCAATTTTTACCATTCCCAAAAAGTCTAGCAAGTGGAGTCTTTTGCATGATCTCCGTGCCATTAATGAGGTCATGGAGGACATGGGAGCACTACAACCAGGGCTCCCATCCCCTGTCATGATTCCACAGGATTGGGACATTGTAATTATTGACTTGAAAGATTGTTTTTTTATGATCTTTTTGCATCCTCAGGATGCAGAGAGGTCTGCTTTTACCATGCCTTCCACCAATAAGGCTGAACCCACCAAGCGTTATCACTGGGTAACCTTGCCCCAAGATATGAAAAATTCCCCCACGTTGTGTCAGATGTACATTGCATGGGCATTGCAACCTTTTAGAAAGGAACATCCCCACTTGCTAGTGTATCACTATGTAGATGATATTCTGATTGCAGGGAAACAATTGGAGGTAGATCTGACCGTGGCTAAGTTACAGGAACAGCTGGAGAAGCAAGGGTCAAAAATTGCCCCAGAAAAGGTACAAAAACGTGACCCATGGAAGTATCTAGGATGGATCATAACCCAAGGAACAGTGTGCCCACAGAAAATTAATGTAAACACATAATTATCAACCTTAGCAGATGTACAGCAACTAATGGGAGATATTCAGTGGGTTAGACCTGCGTGTGGAATCACCAACGATGGCATAGGTCATCTTATGCCACTGCTGGGAACATCTACTAATGCAGATGAGCACAGGGAACTCACTGCACTGCAAAAGAAGGCTTTGCAAGAAATAGCAGACAAAATAGCTGCAGGATATAGCAATTGCATAATAGCAAAATGTGCAGTGACTGTGATGATCATTAACTCGAGAGGGGAAAGACAGCACCCCCTTGGGTTAATTTGTCAGATAGCAGGTCATAAAAAACTGCATATCTTGGAATGGTTGTTTTTGCCATATCACCCAGCAAAGACAGTTGTAACTAGGCCAGAATTGTTGGCTCAATTGATCATAAAAGGTTGAAGGAGAACTATCGACCTTACAGGTAAAGAGCCACAGACCATTATTGTTCCAGTAGCTCAGGAATATTTGACGTGGTTACGAGAATACTCTACTGCATTCCAAATAGCTATGGCAGATTTTCTAGGAAAAATCAGTACTCATTACCCTGCGGCCAAGCTGCTGCCATTGTTGTGGCACTAGAAGATTGAGCAACGAATTATGAGATCTGAGGTACCAGTTAAGGGTGACACAGTATTCACTGATGCTGGGAAGAAATCAAGGCGAGCGGCCATCACATGGAAAACGGGTAGGAGCTGGCAGAGTCAGCTGCTCCCCGGGATTTTAGAGGACTCTTTACAAACCTTAGAGCTCAGGGCTGTTGTGTGGGTTTTTCAGCGATGGCAGCATGCTCCGGTGAATATTGTGTCTGATTCCCTGTATGTGGTCAGAACAGTAATGAGAATTGAGGGAGCAATGGTCAAAACAGTGAAAAACGACAGGTTGCATTCCTTACTGTTACAGCTGTTACACCTTGTTAATCAACGAGGTCATCCCTATTTCATAACCCACATTCACAGTCATAAAAATGCGGAGGGTTAGCCATTGGCAATAATAAGGCAGACCAATTGGTGGCTCCAGCCTGGGCTGGGCTTCCAGTTAACTTATTTCAGAAAGCAGTTTTGTCACATGAATTTTTGCATCAATCAGCAAAGATGTTAGTTAAGCAGTTTGGATTAACCTTTACAGATGCCCAGGGTATTGTTCAATCATGTCCATCTTGTCAAAAGGCTGGAGTAGGCATTGGGTTTGGGGTCAACCCTTGTGGTTTGTAGGCCCTACAACTGTGGCAAATGGATGTTACATATGTAGCAGAATTTGGGCAGTTGAAGTATGTTCATGTTAGCACTGATGCCTTTTCACATGCTATGTGGGCAACTGCTCAAACGGGCGAATCAAGCAAGCACATCATCAAGCATATGCACACTTGCATCACAGCATTAGGGGTATCAAAACAGCTGAAAACAGATAACAGGTTATGCGTCACAACGTTTAAAGCGGTTTTGTCACAACTGGGGAATTGTACACGTTACTGGCATCCCACGCTCTCCTACCAGTCAGGCAATCATTGAATGTGCACATGGCACAATAAAGTCGCTTTTGCTAAAACAGAAAGGGGGAGAGGAGTTGGAAAGTCCTCATGATAGATTAGCAAAAGCCTTGTATGTTTTAAATTTTTTGCAGCTTACAGGCAAGCAGCAGGAGCCCCCCATTGTAATACACAGTAGTTCCCTTAAAACAGGTAGGGAACAGTGTTTGGACAAGATATTGGTGCAGTATTGCGATTTGGTAACAGGAGAATGGAAAGGTCCTGCAGAGATAAAAATGACTGGCCGAGGATATGTTTGTGTGCTTACAGACACTGGGATACGCTGGATACCTGCTCGATGGGTCAAGCCCTGGAAAGAAGGTGCATCAGAACCTTCTTAGCCTGGATGGCCCTGTGAGTTTCGGGTAAAGGTAGTGTGCTGAACATCAACCCAAGACAAAACATGTGGGTAACTTGGGCACATGAAACAGGACAGTCATCTTTTTGCTTATTGGAAGCCACTCCAGGAGACCCTTTTCACACCTGTCTTATAGGTTTTCCTACATTGCCTTTATGAGAATGGCAGGGATGGGGACCCAACATTTCAGAGCTGCATTCATTGTGGACGGAAGTAAACGCCACCTCTTGTAACCACTCAGTTTGGCCCAGTATGAAAGGGGCCCAGATACAAAAGACAATAATTGAAAAGCTCGATTTGAGTAGCTCCATTTCCTTGCAGAAGCTAGAATTGTTAGGGTCAGTAGTCCCCTTTACGCTAACTAATGTAACCTCTCAGTGTCCAATCATGAGACAGTGTGGCAACCAATAAATGGTACAGGAGGAGTATCCTTTGGAAACCCTTTCTTCAAATGGCTTAGTCGCCAGGGGGAATCAGGATTTTTTAATGGGTATCAAAATGTTACAGGTCACCCGGGATATTGGGAACAGGTCAGAACAGGATACACAAATCTTGACGTGTCAGGCGGCAAGCTGTTGCCACTGGGAAATTTTTTAATATGTAGAGACCGTGCATGGAATGGTATTCCACTGCGACCAGTTGGGGGTCCATGTTACTTAGGCAAATTAACAATGTTTGTCCCCTCAATGTGCGATCTCCTTTCCTGGAAAGCGAGTAAAATAAGGACCAAGAGAGGACTTCAATTTACTGAAGATTGTAGTGATAAATTTGAATTTATCTCACCCTCAGCTTTTGCAGCTCTTACGTTCTTTCTGCCAGGAGGAGCTGCAGTGGGCAATTTTTCTCAGATGAAGAAATTTGCGTGCTGGAGTTTAAAGCAGGCCAACAGCACCTCTAGAATTTTGTCAGAATTGTTAGCAGATGTAGATAGTATACAGCATGCTCTGTTATAATATAGGGCTGCTATTGATTTTTTGTTATTAGCACAAGGGCATGGGTGTCAAGAGTTCAAAGATGTGTTGTATGAATCTATCTGACTGTTATAGGTTATAAATCCAATAGGGGAATTTTTCTTCCCTGCTCCACTGTAAGAAAACGGAGTGAGTGGGGGGAAGGGGGTCAATTAGCCTTACAAAAGAATCTAGCTGGCCAGACTGCATTCCTAACAGATGGCCCATCAGGGGCTGGAGGGAGAGGGGAGGAGTTTTGGGAGGGGGTGGCTGGCTCTTCTCTGAGGGGAGAGGTTAGACAGTGGAGTTCTCTCTCTGGGACAGAGACAGTGTCTGTGTCCAGGCATTTTTAGAGAAAAGGCCTGGAAAGCCGGTCTTTCTGGCTTTTCGTCCTGGTGAGGCCTGACCACCAGCCTCGATCAGCTCGCAAGCTGCCTCATGACTCCATCCAGGACCTACTGAGTTTTTCATCGGAGAGTTATGTGCTCACTGGGAGAGAAGGGAGGAGCCTTGAAACCCTGTCATCTGAGAACAACAGTGAGTCCCGTGGGGGGTGGACTGCTTTTCCTTCTGCCCTTCTTCCACTGGGAGAAGGGTCTCCATTTTCTCTTCAGTTTCTCCCGCGATCCGAGACCACCCCCAGACCCCCTTCCCGCGCGGTGACCGCCAGAGCCCGACAGCGCCCCCTGCAGGCCAACACCGAGCACTGCAGGCTCTGCACCTCCAGTGACCCAACAGCGCCCCCTGCCGACCGTGATCAGAACTGCGCTAAGGACAGAGAAGTGTTCATTCAGACTTTTTCTTTTCTTTTGTTTGAAGGGGACTGTCATGGTTTGAGATCCTCAAAAATCCAATTCCCTAGTCCAAGCCCCCTCCCACATCTCAACCCAATGTAAGGTGGGTTTTCCAAACACCACACGAGACTCAAAATGGGGGAAAGGGATTATATATTACAATGACTGTATGAATAAATACTACAATACATTATATACAATCTTAGCTATCTCTACCATGACAGAAGTATTTACAATGGATCAAATCTCTTCTCCCCTCCAAATAAAAGTCCAGGAGGGAAGTAGGAAAAGATCCTTTTCCACTCTCAGAGCAGCAATGTCTCTAAGGCAGCAGGCATCTCTTCTTCTCATGCAGCAGCTGTAGCTGGATCTCTGCCAGTACACACAAGGGGGTATCCAAGCCCCTCGGCCCATCGTCTTCAAGCGAGGGTCTTATCTTCCGTGGGCTGCGTTCACCCACACAACAGTCACGTCACCACGTCATACCACGAAGCACGGGGGTCTTCGTGACGGTCTGTATCTTCAGGGGATTCAAGTCCCCTTTGCAGAGCTCTGTGCTCTGTCTCAAGCAGCGGGGGGGCCAAGGTCACCCTCTCTGCATTCCTTCTCTGAGTTTTTCAGCTCTTTCCTGCAGTGCATGTTGCACTTCACCCTTCCCTTCTAGGAAGTGAGGGGTCTCCAAGGAGTTTGGGGTCTTTTGGTTCAGTTCTTACCCCAAGAACTCTGTCTGTAGAACTTAGGTCTGCTCTCTCTGCTGCTGGCTCTCTTTCTCTCGGACAGTTCTGTGTCTTCCTTGGCTGCATGTTTGTTGCTGCTTTTCAGTTATCTCTTGGCTCTTAGCCACAATCTCTGGACACTGCTGCTGCTCTGTCTCTGCTCACTTACGGTGGAGAAAACTACTTTAGCTTTCAGCCACAGGTACTAAGCCCAGCCTTACACTGTTCCAAGTCCCTGCAGCCCCCCCAGCTGGGGGCTGGGGGGCCAGAGCCCCCCAGGGGCTCCTGCTCTTTCTCCTCATGACTTTACAACATGGCTATTTCTTCTACAACAACTACAACTACCTTCTCTTCCGTTGTGCTTGTGATATGTTTATATTTTGCAGAAGCACTCATTGGGTAAAACCTCAAAACTTCAAGGGTTACCACCCCCTGGGGTTTTACCATTTTATAACTTCAGGGGGAAAACTGTTTTCCCCCACCACAGGGACTTTTGGGTTCAGGACTATTTTCTAGTTATTTTTTTGTGTTCTGTTACTGTTCTTGCCAACATACATATATCTTTTAATAAAGGGTTGTTATTTCTTCTGGTTTTTTTCCACACTTTCTCAATTAAAACCCCCTTAATTTTGAATTTACAGTTGCTGAGAGAGA